GGTGTGTGTGTGTGTGTGTGTGTGTGTGTGTGTGTGTGTGTGTGTGTGTGTGTGAGAGGGGTAGGGGGGACAAGTGGGGCAATTTGCCCCAGACCCCGGTCCCCACAGGGGCCCCCACGAGAATATAGTATTCTATAGTATTGCAACTGTTTTTTTTATGGAAGGGGCCCCCGAAATTGCTTTGCCCCAGGCCCCCTGAATCCTCTGGGCGGCCCTGTCCTTGCCCAGCCAGTCCCAGTCTCTACCCCCAGGCTCCTTTTCCCTACTCGCCAAGTCCTCCCCCACAATGCTCTAGGTCTGTTTTTTGTCCCACCTGCATTTGAATCAGATGGCTTCCTCCTCTACACCAGTGGTTCTCAAAACCGCCCTTTGTTCAGGGAAAGCCCCTGGCGGGCCGGGACGGTTTGTTTACCTGCCGCGTCTGCAGGTTCGGCTGATCGCGGCTCCCACTGGCCGCGGTTCGCCGCTCTAGGCCAATGGGGGCTGCGGGAAGCAGCGCAGGCTGAGGGATGTGCTGGCCGCCACTTCCAGCAGCTCATTGGCCTGGAGCAACAAACCGCAGCCAGTGGGAGCTGCGATCGGCCGAACCTGCGGACGTGGCAGGTAAACAAACCGGTCCGGCCCACCAGGGGCTTTCCCTGAACAAGCGGTGGACCGGCTTTGAGAACCACTGCTCTACACTGCCTGGGTGTCAGCGGGGGGGGGGGTCACTGAGAGCCCAAGAGATGCAAGCTTCTTGCTCTCCATTCCAGTGCCCAGCCACACCCTGCCCAGAGAAGCTAAAAGTAGCCATTTACAGTTAAAATCTGACTTCAGCCCAGTACCCCTGGGATGTGGCATGCACAGTCTGGTCAGCACTGGGAGCTGTGAGAGGCTTGAACACGCTCAGTGAGGACAGAATCTTTGGTGATACTGTTAAGTTCTAGAAAGTATCTGCTGAGCATGTGCAAACTGTGATTTTTTTCAAAGGTTTATAACCTGGCCAAGTTTGGGCAGATTTTCATGAGGACAGTAAAGCCCTCACACAAAGGCCACTCCTCTGCCAAATTTCAAATCCCCGCTCCACAACGTGGGAGTGCTAGAGCATTTCCAAAGGAAAGGTCACCAGAATTTTTGTTTAATGTAAAAAAAAGGAAAGTATTTTCTCCTAGCCTTGTTGTCAGAAATAGCTGAACAGTTTTGGCTGAAGCTTTCCAAAACAATTAAGCCTGTCATGGAAAATTTCAGCCCAGATCGTTTAAATTTAGCAAAGTTATCAACATCTGAAAACAGAGCTTTATTATGGGAAGTGTTGGGCAACCTTAATACTAGGCGGTGGTACCAGGAAGGCTGCAGAACTCCTGAGGGCTCCATACCATGGATGTACTTTTACCCAGGTCTGGGCTCAGAGTATGCACCCTTTGCAACGTATGAAATATGGACAATACAGAGCAAGTTGTTATCTCACTAGTAATGTCACTAAAGATTTGCTATCCTGACTATTGTGCTAGGAAGGTTTTCAAGCGCGGAGAGCTCAGCTGACAAAAGGGCCACTTAGCAACCTTAACAATATGTGGGTGGATTTATCCTTCTGTACAGCGTGGTCAGCTGGAATCTCTCTCTCTGCATTCCCAAACTATTTTCAGTTGTACGCCCCTTTCTCAGTATACAGTAAGTAGCTGGAAACTTGGTGAATCACCCGCAATGGGAGAATATCCAGAACATATGTGTTAAACAGGAGAGTGACATTCCCCCATTCCTTTGTTTAGTTGGGTACAGATTCTTATAACCATGTTAAGCAGTACTTTGCTCCAGAAGTAATCCCAAGGACTTCAATAGGACTACAATGAGTAGCATACTACACAATGTGAGTATGGATGACAAAATCTGTCCCTTTAGGAGAATAGATAAGTGACAAGGGCTATGCATCTGTTTTAATTGTAGGGCTGCAAATCTTGATTTAGAAAAAAGTCATTCTAATAAACTGATTTTATGCATGCTTATTTTGGTTCAAGATATAAGTGCAGACTTAGCATAAAAGGAAATAGGTCCCTCTACCTGTGGAAATTCATACGTGCATTTTAGGCTACTATAAACAACAGGATCTTTCTTAATTTGATGTTTTCATGCTAATAATGAGATTGTGCTAAAATAGTATGGGCATTTAATAAATCATTTCCTAGATATCATCTTTAAAATAAGTTACTGTTATATTTTATGACAACTTTCATTTATCTAGTCCCTCTATTCAACCTGAATTATATTTGTTAGGGATATTCATCCCTAAATATGCTAATTTTTTAGATTAGCAAACAAACAAGCAGTACCATGCAATTTAGATTACATGGCTATCATACAGTCCCTCTCATTTGTGTCTGTCAGCTTCAGTTCCAAACAGGTATTTGCCACTTGAATTGCTGATAGATATCCAATCTGAACACTAACATGTCCCATAAAATTTCTGCCAAATTGAATTACATTATTTATGCATTATCCTATCATTTACGTCTACCTCTGACAATACAGTTGCTGTAGTATGCTCTCTTTCAGTTTAAACTACATTACATGTGTGCTGTATAGATATATATTCAATATGCTCTTAAATGTGAAATATCGATTCTGACGAGCCTTCAAATGCACCTAACGCAATAGTAGCTAGATGCCAAATAAGGCAATTAAGGCTCACAGTCGGTTTGTCCAATTATCTATCTTAGCATTTTATACTGCTGTCCAGAATGCCCTCCGTGTAATAGCAACAGCAAAAGCAATGTCCCTAGTTAATTTCATGGAGTCTGGCGCATCTCCCTTTTTGAGGTAAAGATGGTGGTGTGGGGGTTTTTTAAGGCTGATTTGTTTCCAAGTGCATTTCTGATTTGGGTTTTTTGGGGCTTTTGTTTTTTTGTGGAGGGAGGTTGGGGGGGGGGGGGGGGGTTTTAAAAG